GTTCTTATATATATATATATATATATATATATATATATATGGAAATAGACAAAAATGAACAGTGATTTCGTCTATACTCATCACTGTCCATCAAAGTTTATCATATGATCACGATTGTCTAGTAGTATTTTCATTTTCATTTTTTTTTCTATAAATCAGAATGATCTGAAATTTGGAGCTTGTGTACATCATAGTGAGGAGCACCTAATAAAAATATGAAAAACATATTTCGTAAAATATAAATTGACCACATACCCCCATAAATTTTCAGGGGTATTTTGGTAAATTTATATTTTACGAATTATTTTTTTTATATTTTTATTAGATTCTCCTATTTTTTATGAACACATGTTCTAAATTTTAGATCATTTTGATTTGTAGAAAAAAATTGAAAATTGAAATACTAACGGACAATTGTGATCGTGCGATGAACTTTGGATGATAATGAGCATAGGCGAAATTACGATTCATTTTCGCATATTTTCATCTACAGGCGAAATGAATCGTGATTTCGCCTATGCTCATCACCATCCAAATTTCATTGCGCGGTCACGATTGTCTGGTAGTGTTTTATTTTTCATTTTTTTTCTACGAATCAGAATGACTTGAAATTTGGAAGGTCTGTACATCTTACTTACTGTGGCGCTTCTAATAAAAATATAAAAAAAATTATCCACAAAAAATAAATTGATAAAATACCCTCGAAACGTTTTGGGGGTATTTTGGTCAATTTGTTTCATGTAAAATATTGTGTTTATAATTTTAGAAGATTCCTCTATTTTTGATGAATACACGCTCCAAATTTCAGGTCATTCTGATTTATAAAAAAAAAAAAATGAAAAATGAAACTCTACTGGATAATCGTGACCGCACGATGAACTTTAGACGGTGATGAAAGTAGGCGAAATCGCTGATCATTTTCGCCTATAAATATTGCATAGTATTTTCCTATATATATATATAGATTTCAAAAAGGAGTAATTTCTTGTCATGCATATAGAGACTTGGTGTCTTATCTTTGTTCCTGTAAGTCAAGTTCTATTTCTAATTAATATTTCCTTCACAAAAACGAAAAATACCCACTAAAAACGGCACCTCGTTCAAAGGGGGACCAAGGCACCAACTCTATTTCTCTCTCTACGAGTACCTAGAAATTATTCTTTCGAACTCCAACGCCCCCTGGCCCCAAAGCCAAAGATGAATCTGATTTTCGAATTAATCTTTTGGACACGATGTTTATGCGGCTACCTCGTATATTGTAGAAATGGGGGTTTTGCAATAAATATATATTTTTTAATATAATTTGATCTTAATTTTTAGAGAATATATTTTTTAGATCATGGATATGAATTTTTTTTAAAAAAGAAACTAGAAATAATAAGTATATTAATAAACATTTGGATTGTTAGTTATAATTGTTTTTAGATGAACCACCTATTTGCATCAATTTAAAATGGATGCTTTATACTTCCGGACTGCATGTGGTAGAAATGCGATCCAGCCTGCATAAAACAATTTTCCCAATCATTTTTCAGCATTGGCGTAGAAGTCACAATCACCCAATCAAAATTAGATCTTGTCTTATAGAAAAAGAAAATTGTTTTAGACTTTCAATGAAGGATACGGTTTCTATAAGTCCATGTACAATGGGCCCTCTCTTAAAAAAATGTTTAAAGACATGTATAATCTCTAATATGGAGATAAGGAATATGAAAATAAGTACATTTTAAAAATTAAAGATAATAGCTTTTTATGAAAAAAACATTTGGACCATTAGATTCAATTGTTTTTAAATGGACTACTCATATGCTTTCATCTTTGAAATAGGTAGGGGACGCAAATGTCGAAATGCATCCCCCAATGCATGGATTAATTTTCCTACCAACTATCCACATTTGGCCTTCCAAGTTTACATGTGATGTTGATGAAGGCAATATCATAGTATTTTCAAGGGCTGGCAAAGGGTTGGGCAATGGTTAGTCAAGGCACAACCCGAGTCTTATTAGAACCAAGCACAACTAAAATATAATTTTTTTCTTTAAAAAAAAAAACAAAAAAAAAAGTTGGCTAGCCCGGCCTTGTCCTAGCCCAAGGCTAGCCGAGCCGGCTAGGGCGAGCCAATTGTCACCCTTAGCATTTTCCATCACGGATGATGCATGGTGGGGTGGGATCATTGTTAGAAAAACTAGGCAATCTAATTGCTAACGGTCCGATTATTGGCCGACTCCGGTTTGGAGCGGTTTTGGTGATTGACCGGTATTTAAAAAAAAAAGAAAAATTACGTATATATCCATTATAGTTTGCGTTATTACAAAACTACTGAATAATTTTCGTTATTACCTATCTGTCCGGTGACATGAAAAAAACAGACAGATAGGTAATAACGAAAACTATTCGGTAGTTTCGTAATAATGCAAATTATAACGGATATGTATGTAATTTTTTTTAAAAAAAAGAAATAAATAAAAAATATAAATTCCCATAAAATAATGAATTTGATTGTAATGCATTTTTTTAAAAAATATTCTTTACATTATGATAAAGATTAAAAATATTAAAAATTGTTTTTGTCACTAATACTCACTTTAATTAAAAAATCGATTCGTTAAATTTTATTTTTCATTAATTTTCAAATTTATTTGAATGTCTTTTGTTTTAATTATTTTTTAAATTCTTTTAATATTTTAGTACATCTTTATTTTTGTACATTTTTTATTTGAGAAAATTGCATAAAACCCCTCAAAATGAACTTTCTAATCAATTTACTAACCTAACTTTTCCTAGCAACTTCTCCCTAAAACCATGTTTTTTTTAGCAAATTCTTCAATACAAAAAGTTCATTTTTTTATTATTTATATATTTATTTGTTGATGAAAATACCCTTCCCTTACCTTAACAAATCATTTTCGCTGGAGAGGGTGGTCCTGTGTTTGGAAGAGGTGGTCCAACATAATTTTACTGGAATGGGCGGTTCGGTTTGATTGTGGTGGTCCGGGAATTATGCTATTGGAAACATGGGCAGTCCAGCAAAAAGCAATCTGGCATTTTGAAGGGGCAGTTTGACGTTTTGAAGGAGTGGTACAACATTTTGAAGGGCAATTTGGCATTTTTCTGTGGCGGTTTGGGGTTTTGAAATAAGCAATCTGGCGTTGTACAAGGGCGATTTAGTGTTTCTTTTTATTGCTCTTATTGGGATTGGAAAATGATTTATTATATATGGAAATGATATTTTCGTAAAAAAAAAAATGAGTTTATTATACACGGGAAGGATATTTTCATAAAAAAAAAAGAATTTTTGTATAGGGTATCTCTTACGAAATATGGTGTTTAAGAAAAAGTTGTTAAAAAAAAATAAAAAAAGTTCAATAAAAGTTAAATTGATTA